GGCAGAGCTTAAATGGGGGGTTCCGCAGGGGTCCATCCTGGGTCCCCTCCTATTCTCTTTATACCTGCTGCCACTTGGTGCTATTTCCCAGAAACACTACATACCCTTTCATTTCTACGCTGATGACTGTCAAATTTACCTCCCCCAAGACACAATGGCACATGCTCTATTCAACCTCTGCTCGACAACCTGGCTGACATCAGCGACTGGATGGCTTTAAATTTCTTACGTTTCAATGAAAAGAAGTCTGAAGTCATGTTATTCCCTCCCAACGACACGATCACAAACCACTGCATCAACCTCTCCGCTTTAACACTGTCAGAAAAACAAAGAGTCACTAATCTGGGAGTGATAATGGACCCTTCCCTGAAACTTAACAGTCACGTAAACATAATTGTTAAATCATGTTTCTTCCAACTGAGGCGGCTGTCTAAACTGAAGCCCATATTGTCCAAAAATAACCTGGAGACAGTAATGCATGCATTCATTACATCTAGGCTTGATTACTGCAATTCGCTCCCGTTTGGTATCAGCCAAACCTCCATTGCACGACTACAACTGGTCCAGACAGTAGCAGCCCAATTTTTAACCAGTACAGTCAAAAGAGAGCACATTACACCAGTTTTGGCCTCCCTGCACTGGTTACTGGTTCATCTTCGAATCCAGTTCAAAATACTACTGTATGTCTACAAATCGCTGAACAGTGTCGCCCCCCCCATCTCTCTGAACTGCTATAACGTATGTCCCACCATGCCCCCTGAGGTCAGTGGACCAGTTGCTCCTCACAGTTCCAGGAACTCATCTGTAGTGAACTAAGCCTCAGGTCAAAATCTGACCCTGAGGACCTTCATGGGACAGAAACTGTTATTTCATTGATTTGAGTCCAGAAATACAAATTAAGCTCATCCAGAGACTTTCTAAGTGTGTCCTGCACTAATCAATTGAAAGAACACTCTCTTTTTTATTGTCATTACTATTTTTACAATACCTTGATAATCAAAGTGTGTTTAGTTCAAACCATTTTAAATGTTGAAGTGAACTACTCATTTTAAATCAACTGTGAAACAGTATTAATGATTTTTAATCCTCATTCAAAGTAGAAATCAAGTTAATGTCTGTTACAGAGTAATTATGCATTTTTTGATCTTCTGTCTGAAATGAGAAGGAGTGATGTCGGTCAAAAGTCAGAGAACGGTCGAAAACATGTTTATCGGAATGAAATGTCATGTTTAACTCTCTCAGATAGATAGAAGGAAACTGGCTCCTAAATGTCTGTCTGTTTCAAAACATCTTTCTGTTATATTTTTAAACATCTACGCTGTCTCCTTGACATGTAGTGACCCTCTGACGTCACTAAAAACCACACCCCGGTTGGTTCGTTCAACCAATCAGGAAGTTCCCAGAAGGAACCGGAAGTGACCTCTTTAAAAGGGTCGACACTTCCTAGTTCCAGGGAGAACAACGTTCCAGAGCAGAACAAGAGTTCCAGGGAGAACCTCGAACCAGAAGTTCCTTAACGAGAGAAGTTAAGAAGAACAGAAGTTAGAACAGTTTCTAATGGAGTGACAAGAGTCCGTCGATGCCACGACGTCTCGCTGTGGCTCTACTCGACGAACGCTCTGAACAATGAGGAAGTTTGTTCTGTGATGATCTCACGACTCCTGAAGTCACAGCTGTTCTTACGGAGACGCTGAAAGGTGGCTTGAAATGGAACTTTACGCCGGAACTGAAATATCTTCAGAAAGGTAAAAGAGTCGATCTTCAACTGCCAGTGTACCGTGGGTTAAGCTGCGTCTAAAGGAGCGTGCTGTTCTGGTTATACAGACACTTTTCCTCATCCATCTCTCTCCATTTAAACTTCATTTTCCCATCTTTAAACTTCTATCTTGCCAGTAATTAGGTGCAGATATCTTCAGAAATGTCTGTTGGTTTCAAAAGCTGCAAAAGATAATCATGGCCGCATGATTTTCTCATGCAAGGGTCATTAATTAAGCTGTGTTATTGTAGTCAATTTTGCCAATTAATGTAAATGTGTGATGTGTTTTAAATCGTTTTTAATTAAACGACTCACTGTTGTGGTGGGTCAAAGATAAAACACGTCTCTGTCCACATTTAATATTCAAAACACGATATTACTCAGTCCAGAAAAATGAAAGAATCCGTTTAAATTATGGATAATATCAGACGCATATTATCATCATTACAAAAGGTAACAATATTAGGAATAATGGAGTTCCTGAACTCCAATATTCTCTGAATATTCTGAACTCCTGACGGGCTCGTGCACACCTACAGTGATAGCGAAAATGCTAACGTAGGCACTGCAGCTGGGCAAGTCGCCGCTGATTCATCATGTGGGCAGAAGAGGCTTGAATGATAAATTGAGAGTTATTGTTGTCAGGGGAATTTAGGCAAAGGTCATGGATGTTATCACTTACTAATGTTAAATTAATGTAAAACCATGTGTGTGAGTTAGAGTTGTTTTGGCTGAACAGAGAGGAGCCTGCGCACCTGATAAACTCCAAGACCTTTAAGCTGGAAAGCAGAGGTTGTTTTGACCTTGTCTCTGTCTGATAAGCTTTATAAAAAGACACTTCTGTATACTGTCTGTGGGCAGACCTAGCAACCGGAGCTTCAATGTAACATCTGTGTAAGCCTGTTTGTGTGTCTGAGAAGATGTAAATAGTAAATGGACTGTACTTATATAACGCTTTTCTATCTTAAGACACTCAAAGCGCTTTACACTACAATCTTTGCCCTCATTTACTCATTCATACATCACTCTACTAGATCTCTACAAACCTAATTGAACAAATCATTCTAAAGAGACTAATCAGTACTTCAGATCACATTCATACACCGATGGGACACACATCGGAGGCAATGAGGGGTTCAGTGTCTTGCCCAGGGACACTTTGTCATGCGACTGCTGGTGGATACTTCAAGATCATACTCATTTTTTCCCCAGTTCATAAGACGTACTCCCTAACTGACTTTAAAAAAAAAAAAAAAAAAATATATATATATATATATGAACACTGCCTTTACATACCTGCAAACTAAGGGATGAAAAAGGTGACAAACCTAGAGCCCAAAGTTTCTTTATATGCGGATGACATGCTTTTGTATAAATAAGAACCTCTTGCCAGCATTCCTGAATTACAGTACTTTCTTTGCTTCAAAAATTTGGGAAAATATCTGGCTATAAGGTTAATCTTCAAAAAGACAAGCTGATGTAGGTGACCTCTATAGAAAAGAAAATCTTAAGACAGTGTACCTTTTAAAATTAGTTAAACAAAATTAAATACCTTGGCATTTGGGTAACCCAAGATCATAAGAACCTTTACAAAAATAATTATCTACCTCTCATGATGAACCTTAAGGACAGTGTTAGATGGCAATCCCTACCTCACACTCTGGGAGGTAGAATAAACTCTGTAAAAATTAATATTAAATTTCTATACCTGTTTCGGAATCTGCCAATCTTTCTTACAAAATTATTCTTCACCAATCTGAACAGCCAGCTATCAGAGTTTATTTGGAATAAAAAGCATCCACAGAGTGTCAAGAGGGTCTTACATCTGCCCTGCAGGCTTGGAAGAATGTCACTTCCTAATTTCATGCACTATTACTGGGCAGCCAATATCAAAGCTCTACTATTGTAGTTGGGTAAGGATACCTCGTCTCCCAGTTGGGTGGCCTTGTAAAGGGCCTCAATTAGATCCAGCTCCCCTTCTGCATTACTCTGCTCTTGGCTGACTTTTAACAAGTCCATATTAACATACACTTCTAATCCAATTGTGATCTGGGTGGTCAAGATTTGGAATCAGTTCAGGAGGGCATTTAACTCCAAAGAGTTGATGTTTTTGGCACCTGTGTCAAATAATCACATTTACTCCCTCAGTGCAGCTTTGGGCACCTGGGTCTTGAGGGGAGTGCATTCACTGTTTGACCTCTTTGTTGATGGTAGAGTTGCCTCTTTTGAGCAGCTGGTACAGAAGTTTAATATCCACAAGTTACATTCAGAGAGTTGTAGCTGAGACATTTTGTGAGGTCTAACAATGATAGTTTTCCTTTGTACCCCTCTATAAACAGTTTGTGGTTAAGATTTTGGAATGCGGGTCTGATACCAATGGGGCCCTTAGTAAGATCTACACACTGCTCAGTTCATACCATGAGACCAGTTTGGACTCCCTTAAACTGAAATGGGAAACAAACTTGGAGGAATCCATATTGGACTCAATCTGGAGAAAGATCATTAAGAACATTTACTCTTCCTCAATCTGTCTGAGACACGCTGTAATTGAAGTCAAGTTAGTGCATGGGCTGCACTTGTCCAAAGACAAGCTGCCCAAGATCAAAGCCGATCTGGACCCCGCATGTAATTGTTGTAAACAAACTCCAGCTACACTCTTGCATACATTCTGGACCTGTCCCAAACTGCAGATCTTTGGCAATCTATTTTTGACACCTTCTCTGGGATGTGGAAAAACTGTACACCCATCACCTTTCATCTCACTGTTTGATGTGGTCCCTGTAGATACATCCTTCAGCAAGTACGAGAAGGATGTGATTGCTTTTGACCAGGAGATTTGTTTTGTGCAATTGGAAGGACCCACAACACCCAGCTTATTTATAGTTAATAAGAGAGGTGACGTATCATATCCATCTGGAAAAAATAAGATATACCTTGAAGGGTTCTGTTAAAAGATTTTGGGACATGTGGCAGCCTTTTTTGTTGTATGTGGAAAACTTGTCAATGCCTGTGTAATTCATTTTAATTCATTTATGTACTGTAGTACTGTATATGTGACTGATCCGGTGTGGGAGGGAAGGGGTGGAAGGTGTTTTTTGTCTTATCTTCTTTGTGTTTTATATGTTCAATAAGAAAAATTAATAAAAATACTTTGATTAAAAAAATGTTCATAAGTTAATCCCACTCTTGTTAAACAAATGGCAAACTTATAAAAACCTCTTTCTAAGCATTAAAGGAAACCTACCTGTGCTGGTTTTTCTGGGCTTTCAGTCAGAAGAGTCCACATGTTGTTCTTAAGTCTCTTCATGTCCATTTTCTTTGCTGTCTTGGCATAGTTGATTTCAATTTTGTTGACCTAAATAAGCAAGCAATACTGTCAGTGCATGTAAAACTGGAGGGGGGGGGAGGGGGGCACAAAAAACGTTTGAGTCTCAAATGTGTCCTGCCTCCTTGTGTGTGTAGTGTTAGCACATCTCATGAACCACTGAGCAGTTTCTAATGAAACTCTCAGAAAGCAGAAAATATCTACAACTGAATAACTTTTGGAGTCAACACAATTCAAGATGGCTGCCAAAGCAAACAGACATTAGAAACAGAAAAATGCAGAAAAATTCATCAACATTATAAACGTCAAAACTTTAAAGCTGATGGATGATGTGCATTTCCCCAAGGAATTCTAGGCCTTTCATTACTTTGAGTTATTGAAAAGAAATTTACTGGCAGAAAAAAACTTACCGTAATTGTTGGTGTAAAAGCTGCTACTTTTGTCTCAAATTTTGTACCCCGCAGTTGACATGTAGGAGTATCTTATTTATGTATTTTTTTCATAATTTTCAAGTTATATTTTAATATTTTATTCTGATTGACTTCCTGCCATCTCTCAGTAACTTCCTGCCACTGACTAACATTTTCCTTTGATAGAGCTGGGCGCTCATGGCTCCCAGCACCCCGCCCCCTTGGGGGCAGGCATTTGTGACACAGAGAGAATGCCCTCAGGTAATTAGATGTACCAAATCTCTTTGCTCATGGTTTCAAATTGCCTACAATAATTCCACCCACTCTGTCATCATGTGACCAGAAGTCAAACCTGAATGACTAATGAGGTACTCTAGAGGACAATCCCCCCAAGATAGACGTGAATTAATTTCTTCAGATCATTTCCGCGTTGTTTATCGTATTTTGTGATTCATACACAGACCTGCTCATTTGTTCATCAATAATGGAAAATGCACGGATAATTTGTTATGACGCAGCTTTCATGTTAAAAGCAATCGGTCGAAGGAGGAAACAGCTGCAGCCGTAAGCTCTACATCATGTCGTGGGTCAGGCATAGGAGATGCAAAAGCAGTCAAGTCTGGTATATGCTTTAATAAAAGTTTTAAAATTATTTCTGCGTGACAACTTTCTGTCAGTAAATGTGATTTAAATACCGGGATCTCATTTTAAACTCACACCCAAACACGAAGCGGAGAACAACGGGAGGGGTCTTCGCCCCTCCCCTTTCCGACATGAGACGGAGCAAGCGGTAGAGAATGTCAGATTTATTTTAAAGCAGTCAGTCAAGACTGATACATATTTAAACAAAAGTTAATATATATATATTTAAGTGTACAGTAAATATGTGTTTAAATACCAATATCTCATTGAAGTTATGCACAGAACAGAGGAGACAAAGGGGCAGGGGGCTGTTCTCCCTTTCTTCCACCATCTCCTCATATGAGCTCTGCTGAGCAGAAATCACGTCAAATGTATAATTTGTTTAGAAAGTACATTTAAAATCAGCAGCTGCTAACAAAATTCTTTACCAATAAAAATCAATGGTACAAAATTAATTTTAATTTTTGATTCACAACTCACCTTTGAAAGCCATATAAAGCATATATGTAAAACTTATTTTTTTCATCTTCGAAATATTTCAAAGCTTCTGTCTACACTGTCCTTCACCGATGCAGAAAAGCTCGTCCATGCCTTTGTCTCCTCCCGACTGGACTACTGCACTCCTCATTGGGATTCCTGGCAAGAACATACAGAAACTACAGTATGTCCAGAACAGCGCTGCCAGGGTCCTGATGAGAGTGCGTAAGCATGAGCACATCACCCCTGTACTCCGGTCACTTCACTAGCTTCCTGTTTCTGCTCGGATCACTTACAAAATGTATCTGCTCACCTTCCAATGCTTGTACGGTAATGCACCATCTTATTTTAAAGAACTTCTCACCCCTCATTGTCCTTCACGCACTCTCCGCTCTTCCAACACTCATCTTCTTCTCACTCCCAGGTCTCGATCCTGCACAACAGGAGACCTCCTGCGCTGCCCCTCGGCTGTGGAACGCCCTGCCTTCATCTCTGAGGCCCCGCAGACCGTGACATGTTTTAAAAAGGGTCTTAGAACCTTTCTTTTTACCCAGTTTTTTAATTGATTGCACTGTGCTTTTGGTTTTTTATTCACCCATAGTTCTTATTTGAGTATTTTATCTGCATTTTGTGCATTTTAAGTTTTTTTGATGTGTTCATTCTGAGACGTTATCCTCCTGGTTGTTTTGCTCTCGGTTGCTTTTATCCTGATGTTATCTGATGTTCACTCTTTGTAGCACTTTGAGATTCACTGTGAATGTAAAGTGCATTATAAATAAAAGTTATTATTATTATTATTATTAACTGTATTTTACCAGTACTATTTGACTTCCGGTCACATGACCTCAATAAGACTTCTGGGTAATATTTACCGGCAAAAAAAAATAATAAAAAAAATAATAATAATAAATCCAGTTACATAGGTGTTAGACACTGTTCTGTCCAGTGACTATGCTTAGATAGATTATTGTGCTCAATTTGAAGGTATAATGGTTGTAACCATGAGTCAGACAGCGAAACGTCATGAAGACTTATGACGATCATGCAGTCTGAACGTGTTGAAAGAAAGCTATAGTCTGAAACATCAGCAGGTGGCTGATTCTTGTACTACAACAAGAAAGCTGCACACTGCCAGAGCAGGCCTGGAAACAGATCCCGACGATGAACAGTGGATGCCTGAGGCTAAATAACCGGAGCATCTTATTTATGTACAAAATTATGATTTATCTTATATTTAATAAGTGCGGCTTAGAGACAGGTGGGTTCTATAGCCCAAGAATTACGGTAGTTAAAAAATATAAATCAGTTACAGTAGACCCTCGTTTATCGCGGAGGACCCATACCCTGAAGCCCCGTGATTAAAAAAAAGCCACAAAGTAGGGATAGTAGTACAAGTAGTAAGTAGTCTATCTTAGTATATATATATAAATATATATATACATATATATATATATATATGTATATATACACATATACGTATATATATATATACGTATATATACACATATATATATATACATATACGTTTATATACGTATATATATATACATACGTATATATACACATATATATATATACATACGTATATATACACATATATATATATACATACGTATATATACACATATATATATATACATACGTATATATACACATATATATACATACGTATATATACACATATATATATATACGTATATATACACACATATATATATATATACGTATATATACACACATATATATATATATACGTATATATACACATATATATATATATACGTATATATACACATATATATATATATACGTATATATACACATATATCAAGTCAAGTCAAGTCATCTTTATTTGTAGAGCACAATTTAAAACAGATAAACTGTTATCAAAGTGCTTAACAGAAATGTAGCAAAACATAGGCAGCAAAACAAAAACATCATACAGAATTAAAATTACTGGAGCAATAACACACACTAATGATCACACTAAGGAAAAACAAGCAGTAAAAATAAACGTCAATCATAAAACAACAGAATTTAAAATGAGGTAACACAGAACAAAATAAACTAACTCACACCGTATTAAACGCCAGAGCAAACAGGTGCGTTTTAAGGAGGGATTTGAACATCAGGAGGGAGGAGGCCTGCCTGATGTTGAGGGGCAAGTTGTTCCACAGGTTGGGACCTCTGACTGAAAAAGCTCGATCCCCTCGGAGCTTCAGGCGTGATTTTGGAACGACCAAAAGAAGCTGGTCCGATGATCTCAGGGCCCGAGACGGAACATATGGTTCCAGGAGCTCGGAGAGGTAGAGGGGTGCGAGGCCATTTAGGCACTTATATGTCAGGAGGAGAATCTTGAAGTCGATTCTGGATCGCACAGGAAGCCAGTGAAGGGAGGACAGAACAGGTGTGATGTGCTCAGACCTACGTGTACCAGTTAAAAGCCGAGCAGCTGCATTTTGGACGAGCTGGAGACGTGAAATGGATGCCTGACTGACCCCAGCATAAAGTGAGTTACAATAGTCCAGGCGGGTTGTGATGAAGGCATGGACTAATGTTTCAAGGTTGGGTCTGGATAACACTGGCTTGAGCTTAGCTACCTGCCGCAGTTGGAAAAAACTTTTCTGCAGAACTGAACTGATCTGTTTGTCAAACTTGAAATCCGAGTCAAAGACCACCCCGAGATTTCTAACATTGTGCTTGAGATAGGGCTGAAGTGAGTCCAGGTTTGCAGGATCTGAGGAGGCAGCTGAGCTAGGACTAAAGACGATGACTTCAGTTTTCTGGTCGTTAAAACTGAGAAAATTTGAAGTCATCCATGCCTTAATGTCATCTAGACATTTGAGGAGAGGGTGGATGGAACGAGCACTGGCTGGTTTCAGTGGCAGGTAGATCTGGCAGTCATCGGCATAACAATGGAATGAGATGGCATGTTTTCTTAAGATGGATCCCAGTGGGAGCAGATAGAGCGAGAAGAGAAGGGGTCCAAGGATCGAGCCCTGTGGGACCCCGCAGGAAAGAGGGACCGAAGTGGACAGACTTTCACCAACCTTGACACAAAAAGTCCTGTCAGAGAGGTAAGAACGGAACCAGTCTAAAGCAGCTCCTGTAATCCCAACCCAGTGTTCGAGCCGTGAGATGAGGATACTGTGGTCGACGGTGTCAAAAGCAGCAGTAAGATCAAGGAGTACAAGTACCACATAGTGACCAGAATCGTTTGAAGTTAAAATGTCATTGCAAACCCTAACCAAAGCTGTTTCTGTGCTGTGGAGTTGCTTAAAACCAGACTGAAAGACCTCAAAGATTTTGTTCTCAGTTAAAAATTGATTCAACTGAGTAAAGACTATTTTTTCTAGGATTTTGGACAGGAAGGGAAGCTTTGAGATTGGTCTGTAATTTGAGTGCACTGAGGGGTCAAGTCCAGGTTTCTTGATTAAAGGAGTGACTACTGCATTTTTAAAGGCCTGTGGAACCACGCTTGTAGCAAAGCTACTGTTAAGAATATTAAGAACAGCGGGCCCAATCGCTGGTAGAACCTGTTTGAACAGTGAGGGAGAGATTGGATCAGCAGGGGAGCCTGAGGGTTTCATGTGACCAACAACTTTGTTTAACAATGGGAGTGTGATTGGATTGAAATTCCTGAAAGTGGCTGAACATGGGACAAAAACCGATGGGTCAACTGAGGAGCGGGGGATGGAAGATCTGATCAGCTCTACCTTACCAACAAAGAATCTTGTGAAGTCGTTACAGACGTCCACAGAGGCGTCCATGCATTCAGACAAAGGGCCATTAAGAATGGAATTTACTGCTGTGAAAAGGGTGCGGGGGTTGTTTTTATTTTCACTGATCAGTTGGGAGAAGTATTTGTTTTTTTCTGATTTGACGGTGTTTTGGTAATTTTTTAAACAGGTTTTTAGCAAAATGAAAGAAACCTGGAGTTGGTCCTTTTTCCATTTGCGCTCTGCTCTCCTGCACAGTCGTCTCGCTGCCCTGGTGGTCTCGTTTATCCACGGGTACTGGGTTCTCCTTGCTTTCCTGACTTTCAGTGGGGCCACCAGATCCAAGATCTTGGTGCAGGTCTCATTGTGGTGACTAAGCAGCTCATGAGTACTGACACAGGCAGAGGTATCAGGAGTTGAAACAGCAGTGGTGATAAAAGCAGAGGAAAAACGAGCAGAGGTTGAAGGGTTGAATACACGACAGGTCCTAGGTGGAGTGGGGGATTTAGACTCACGAGCAAGAGAGATTTCAAATGAGATGGGTTTGTGATCGGATATGATAGCATCCCCAATTTCCAGATTTAACACAGATACACCATAAGACAAAACAATATCGAGAGTGTGCCCCTGCTGATGCGTGGGGCCAACAACATTTTGCACCAGGTTTAGAGAGTGGATCAGATTTAGAAAGTCCTGCACCAAAGGCTTCTCAGGGCAACAGACGTGTATATTGAAGTCCCCTAGAATCAGCACACGGTCATATTTTAACAGTATTCCAGTGAGAAAGTCAGACAGTTCATTGATGAAGCCTGTTGATGATTTGGGGGGTCTGTAAAGAGCAGCAACCAGGATGGGTTTGGAGCGGCCCAGTTCAAAATGCAGCAGCTCAAAGGTCTCAAAAGCTGCTGTCAGAAGCAGTCTGCATTTCCAAATTTTCTTAAAAAGAGCTAAAACTCCTCCACCTCTTCCAGATGGCCTCGGGCAGTTAAGAAAAGTACAGTCTGCAGGCACAAGTTCAGTAAAAACGCTTGACTCACCAGGAGGAAGCCAGGTCTCCGTCAGAAACAAGAAGTCCAGGTTATTGGAGCAGAAGAAGTCATTTATTATAAAAGTTTTGGTTGATAAAGATCTCACATTGAGGAGAGCAAACCTTGTTAGGCCAGCAGCTGGGGGAAAAGTTGAGGGGAGGACGCTGATCAGCGGCCTCAGGTTGTTTACGTCGGGCCTTCGCCTCCTCCGGCCAGAGGAAGCGCAGCTTCGCGCGCGTCCGCCGCGAAGTCCAGAATGAAGAGCCTGAATCCGAGAGCCGCCGGACACAGCAGGGTCGTTGGTACACTCCGACGGGACAGCAGTAGATGGTGCAGCCGATGGACCAGGGCAGGCCCCGATCAGCTGGAGACTTTCGGACCCACCGCAACTGGGCGCGCGCCCGCTGCGCGGTCCGGGACAAACAGCCGGAGTCCGAGAGCCGCCGGACACAGCAGGGTCGTTGGGACAGACCGATCGGGTGGCAGGAGATGGTGCAGATGAAGAACCCAGGCAGACCTCGATCAGCTGGAGACTGTCGGAAACTTCGCAGCTGAGCGCGCGCCCGCTGCGCACCTCCGACCCCACGTTCTTCAGCGGGCAGGACTCCGCGAGACATCCAGGTGGAGGATCCTCAGTCCGGTGGTCAGCTGTTGCTGAGGAGCGAGCGAGGCTCGCTTTGAGCCTCACGAGGCGGCCAGCACGTCTCCCGCGGCGGCGGGAGCGATGTTTCCGTGCAGGCAGGAAAACATCACGGCGAAGGTAAGCAGGGACGCTCCCGAGCAGTGGAGGTGGGGGCCCAGACCCTCGGTAGAAATGATCGTACGAGGCGAGATGTTTTGTGGAAAATTGTAGATTTAGAAGTTGCTCACGATCATACACCAGCAGTGAGTTGATGTTATTGAGGAAGAATGATAAAAATAGCAAAAAAACAAACAGAGTGGAGAGAGGTGAACGGCAAGCCACCAGCTCGGGCGCCATCTTGAAAGTAATTATATGTACACATATATATATATATATATATATACATATATATATATATACATATATATATATATACATATATATATATATATATATATTTTTTTTTTAACCCTTCCCACACTCTTGCGATATTCTAAACAACGTTTCTAAACTCTAAATGCTCTAGAAGAACACAGAATATCATGATTTCAGCTCCCTGCTCTCACTCTCTCGGCCACGCCCTCTTCTCCACTATGCATGGAGATCAGCTGATCAGCTGCAGGAAGGAGGAAGCTTATCCTGCAGTGTGGGATGCACAGAGGTGCAACAGGTGCTAAATAATTAAAAATAATTTATTTTAAATAAAAATTCCATGCCGATTGTGCGGCTCATCCATCTATCAGCCAAGTGTGTATCATGTCCAATCTTACTTTGAAAAACCGCAATAGAGCAAGTCCACGAAAAATAAACCGCGATGTAGCGAGGGACTACTGTATATTGTTTTTTAATGCCTTGTTTCTAATATGTCTTCTGTCTGAAAAACACTGCAGATAAAGTTTTTTGAGCAGAAAGCAATTAAAAGCCAAGACATTCATAATGTGGGACAAAAGTCTTGCATTACCCACCCTGTGTGGTTCAGGAACCAGATTGTCCTCCCCGTACGTGGACATATCCTCAAGATCTTGTGAGTGTGGAGGTATATTGTCACCTGAGGGCTGCATGTCATCTGAAGCAGCAAATCCTTCAACATCATAATCACTGTCACTACCCTGAAATAACACAATACAATAACAAATGAAGATCCATTAGTGATTTGTGAAGTGGCAAAAATTGTCCAACTCGGATGTTATGAAGGTTCAAGTTGAGGAATAACTTGGTAAAGAGGCACAATTCTTATTACCCTCCTTCAGTCTGTAATTTAGAAACAAGTAGTAGTGTTTTCATCAGTCATGCATGTTCCTGTGAAACCTACTGCAAAACCATCAGGTATCTATCAAACAGAAAACACAATCCTGCTGCAGCCATTTCAGTCAATGGACAGAAACAACTTCAGATATTATTTTATCATTTTTAGACTTTATAATTTCCTACTACTTCACATCCATCCATCCATCCATTATCTTCTGCTAGTCCTGAAGTTGGGTCGCAGGGGCAGCAGCTTAAGCAGGGAGGCCCAGACATCTCTTTCCACAGCCACCTCTTCTGGGAGAACTCCAAGGCGTTCCCAGACCAACCGAGAGACGTAGTCTCCTGCGTCTCTTCTCCAGTGGTTTATTGTAGTCTAGCAGCCACAAAGTAGGATGCAGGTTTTCCTCCATCGGCTGTTTATCAACAAAGCATTCCTGGCCGAGACCAACTTCCACCCTGAAGGGGTCCGACTTACTGCCGGCAATGCAAACCAAATGATCGCAGCACTTATATAGAGATCGAACTACACTATTACACAGAACATTAAAAAAATAACATGAAAAGTAATTGTAAAGTGTGGTTTCTTGCCTGAAGACCTGGACAAAAGTTAACTGTATCATTGGCGTTGTTGTAGTCGTAATCACCAATGCCTTCTCCAAGCTCTCCCGACCGCCTCTTCTGGCCTTCTAGACTTAACTGGAAAATAAATGTTGCATTCAAATTTCCATCATGTACAACATCAATAAACAGAATGGAATCTGCAGGATTTGTAGCATGTCACCATATTCTAAAGGCAAAATCTCGAACCCATAAATGATACGGTTATTACAGCATGATAATTGTTGTTATTATGGCAGTGACAGTAAAGCCATCATTTAGAGGTTTGACCAAAATGGCTACAACCTTATCTGTTCTCATCATAAGGTGACTTCAGTTTAAAACTGTGGCACGAAAGGCACATCCTTCAAAGAATGCTAGGCCCTTTAATTGTATGTTTGTGTGGGATGTCAGTTGGCATAAGTGGGTCCTTAACAACGAAGGACAAAAAGCCTCATGTTCTCAGTATGTCTTAGCCTCAGCCAATATAATATTAACTAATTTAGACTGAGAAATTCATAAAGAGCTTCAATACGGTTTATAAAAAAGATGGACAGTCATGCCACAAGTCCATCAGTTTAAAACTGTTAATAGAAAATTAAGTCCCAAAATGTTTATAAAATAGATCTATACATTGCAGTCCAGTGCTTTTAAACTGTTTTCTTCAATTTGCTGTCCTGACAACTGCAGATGCATACACAGCAACTCAACCCTCAGTTGTTGAACTAGAAAAAAAACTACTGTGTGTAAACAGGAAGTAATTGACATTTAAGTTTCTAAAGTACTTGAAACATTTATTTATATTAAAGTGAGATCAAAACAAACCAGCTACATAGATAAGTAACTCGCCACTCATTTTTTGTGTCTTGAGTAAAGTCGATGCTTTGATTCCACATGCAGTGGAAGATGACAGAAGAAACAGAGTCTCACCGAGTTGGAGGGTTTGAGGCTGAGCTGGGACAGCTTCTCAGGCGGAAACTGGAAATCTGCAGGTAAGGTAGTTTTCTTTTTGCTTGTACTGAGCGCAGATTTGCTGTTAGTGGTGGCTGCCTGCGAAGATCAAGCAGAAAATATGAGATTCAGGACAAAAACTAGTTAAACTTCTTTATAATTTAAATACTTTCATCGATTAGTCCATCTCCTTTTACATTTTATGTTCTAACATGCTGAACAGTAATGTACTATCAGTACAGTGAGCACAATAGGGTAACAGAGCCTGACATATTCATGACATACGATTCAAAGATTATAAAAAAAATGGAAAAGCAAAACACAACAGTTTAACTCTGAAAGCCCCAGTAAAAAACTAGACGTACATTCTTTTATTGTCTGTAAGCAAACTGACACAAAAGTGCAATTGCTGCTTTAAATTTTCATGAGCCGGACACTAAAGCTGAAAGAATTTCAGTCAACATACAGTACATCTCAAAAAAGTAAATACCATAAAGTTTAATGCCATTTTGCCATAGCAACTGCCCAACAATGGTCAGTATCATGGTTCTAATGTCCTCTTAATATATTTTTATTTGGTAAATGAACTTCATTCAGGAAGATCACATGTTGCAGCCATCCATCCATTATCTTCTGCTTCTTCCGAAGTCAAGTTGTGGGGGCAGCAGCCTTAGCAGGGAGGTCCAGACCTCTCTCTCCACAGCCACCTCTCTCAGGAAGACACCAAGGTGTTCCCAGGCCAACTGAGAGAAGTAGTCTCTCCAACATGTCCTGGGTCTTCCCCGGGGTCTCCTCCTTAGAGAGGCGCCCAGGGAGCAGTGCTTCTACTCCGAGTCTCTCCTGATAACTGAACATCTCCCCCTGTCTCTAAGGGAGAGTCCAGCTACCCTGCAGAGGAAACTCATTTCAACCTCCTGGATCCACGATCTCATTCTTTCAGTCTCTACCAGAGTTCATGAACAGAGGTGAGGGGAGGAACGTAGACCGACCAGTAAACGGAGAGCTTTGTCTTACAGCTCAGCTCCCTCTTCACCACAACGGACCGGCACAGAGTCCACGATACTGCAAAAGCTGCACCAATCTGTCTGTCAATCTCACGCTCCATTCTTCCTTCACTCATGAACAAAACCCAGAGACCCTTGAACTCCTCCACTTGAGGCAGAACCTCACACTCGACCCGAAGAGAACAATCCACCCTTTTCCGATTGAGGACCATGGCCTCAGATCAGGAGGTGCTGATTCTCACCTCAGCTGCTTCACACTCGGCTGTGAACCATTCTTAAAAATAAAATAAAAAACACTGTAATGCCACTTTGGTGATATGTGCTGCTGATTATCCATGCTGCTGACTTCATTCTGCTGATTATTTCATGCTGCTGTATTTATTCATACTTATCTACTCACACAGATTCACACACAAAGTTCATGCTGCTGTTGCTGGGCGTATTGTTTTGCACTAATTAGTGTTTAGCGTATTTCTTAGTTTTATACCTTAAATCTTTATTTAATGTTTCTTTTTATGCTTTATATTTTTGCTATTGTTGGATGTAACTGGGACCCTGTGTACATATGTTCCACCTCGTGTACCACATGTGATGAGAATGACAATAAAACCTACTTGAACTTGAACTCCAGTGAGAGCTGGAGATCACGGCACGATGACGCCAACAGGACCACATCATCTGCAAAGTTTTGGCAGCACGATGGCCCAGTGGTTAACACTGTTGCCTCTCAGCAAGAAGGTCCTGGGTTCAGTCCTCAGTTGGACCTGGGGTCTTTCTGTGTGGAGTTTGCATTTTCTTCTCGTGCTTGCGTGGTTTTTTTTCTCCCAGGTACTCTGGTTTTCTCCCACAGACGAAAAACATGCATGTTAGGCTGCCCTCAGGCCCAGGCCTCCCATACAAAAGAGATATGTGATCTCACTGGGATTGCCTGGTTAAATAAAGGTTAATTAACAAAAAGTAGAGAAGGAATCCTGAGGCCACTGAACCAGACTCCCTCCCTTATGAACAGAATGACAATGGGCAGCCCCGGCGGAGTTCAACTCCCACCACATGCAGAATGTCACTTATTATTTAGAAACATAAAACTGATTTTAAAATCAAATCTACAATGATTTTTTTTGTTTACAGCTGTTTACCACATGTGATGCAAATGACAATAAAGTCACCTTGAATCTTTGTGCAGTGAATCTGAATGAAACTATCACACCCAACATACTGATATTTTTTATTCCACATGGCATGAAACTAATACTTTAATTAATATCACTGAGTTACAATCAGTGAAATCTCAGAAGAAAAACACTGGTTGGTAAACACCATTTAGCACACTGCAACAGAATGTAAAAATAATCCATCTAGGTCTGTTGTAAACAATTATTTTAGTAATCGAGTAATCTATCGATTATTCTGGCTATTCAGTAATAGAAAACAAAATTTATCAGGTTCTGCAGTAATTACTCATTTTATGAGTAATACATCCATCCATCCATCCATCCATCTTCTTCCGCTTTTCCGGGGTCGGGTTGTGGGGTATCAGCCTAAGTAGGGAGGCCCAGACTTCCCTCTCCCCAGCCACTTGGTCCAGCTCCTCCGGGGGAATCCCGAGGCGTTCCCAGGCCAGCCGAGAAACATAGTCCCTCCAGCGTGTCCTGGGTCTTCCTCTGGGCCTCCTCCCGGTGGGACGTGTCCGGAACACCTCACCAGGGAGGCATCCAGAAGGCATCCTAAACAGATGCCTGAGCCACCTCAACTGGCTCCTCTCGACGTGGAGAAGCAGCGGCTCTACTCTGAGTCCCTCCCGGATGATCGAGCTTCTCACCCTGTCTCTCAAGGGAGAGCCCAGACACCCTGCGGAGAAAACTCATTTCAGACGCTTGTATCCGAGATCTCGTTCTTTCGGTCACAACCCAAAGCACATGACCATAGATGAGGGTAGGAACGTAGATCGATCAGTAAATTGAGAACTTTGCCTTTGGACTCAGCTCTCTCTTCACCACGACAGACCTGTACAGCGCCCGCTTCACTGCAGACGCTGCACCTATCCGCCTATCGAGCTCACGTTCCATTTTTCCCTCAATCGTGAACAAAACCCCAAGATACTTGAACTCATCCACTTACCATACCATACCACTTTATTTATAAAGCACTTAAAACAGCTACAAGGCCAACCAAAGTGCTGTACAGACAAAACAACAGACAACACACAAAGCAACATACAAAATGAGGTAAATCAGAATATAGACATAAAAACGATGCAGATAATGACGACAAACCAGTGTGGAGCGAACAGGATCAAAACAAAGATCATCTGGTGTTGAAAGCTACTGAATGGTAGTGAGTTTTTACCATACCATACCAATTTATTTATAAAACACTTAAAACAGCAACAAGGCCAACCAAAGTGCTGTACAAAAGAAAACAAACATGCACAGCGGACAGGAAAACATAAAATAAAAATACAGATACAAATAGCAGCAGAAGCTAACTAAAATGGCCAACAGAGTAGAGAACAGACCGGACCAAAACAAATCACACCGTGTTAAAGGCAAGCAAATAGAAGTGGGTCATCAAGCGAGACTTAAAGACTGAGAGTGTGGGAGCCTGCCGGACACTCAGTGGCAACTCATTCCACAGTCGTGGACCTGCAACAGAGAAAGCCCTGTCACCTCTGAGCTTACGACGGGTTTCTGAGACTGAGAGAAGCATCTGGTCTGCTGACCTCAGAGAGCGCGGTGGGACATATGGCTGCAGAAGATCAGTGAGATAGGATGGGGCGGAACTGTTCAGTGATTTAAAAACGTACATGAGAATTTTGAATTGGATCCGAAGGTGAATGGGTAGCCAGTGCAGGGAGGCCAAAACTGGCGTGATGTGCTCTCTATAGCCTGTACCAGTTAAAAATCAGGCTGCAGCATTTTATGTTTACGTGACTGTTGAGTTTTAAGGACGGGTCCATTATCACCCCCAGATTAGTGACCTTTTGTTTCTCTAGCGGGGCTAGACAGAAAAGGTCAATATCATGGTTCATGAGTGAGCCACTGGGATGGAACAGCATGACTTCAGACTTCTTCTCATTGAAGCTTAAGAAGTTTAAAGCCATCCAGTCCCGGATGTCAGCCAGGCAGTTAAGAGGAGGCTGAATAGAGCATGTGCCTCTGTGCCTTAGGGGGAAGTAAATTTGGCAATCATCGGCGTAGAAATGAAAGGGAATGTTGTGTTTGCGGAAAATAGCACCTAGTGGCAGCAGGTATAAAGAAAAGAGAAGGGGACCGAGGATGGACCCCTGCGGTACCCCCCACTGGAGCGCTGTCGATGCCGAACTAAAATCTTTGATATTGACACAGAAGGTTCTGTCAGAGAGGTAGGACCCAAACCATTTAAGGGCTAACCCTGTGATGCCCACCCACTGCTCCAGTCTAGAAATGAGGATCTTGTGGTCGATGGTGTCAAAAGCAGATGTAAGGTCCAATAGGGCAAGCAGCACAGAATCACCTGCGTCTGTGGATATGAAAATGTCATTAAAAACCTTCAGTAGAGCAGTTTCAGTGCTATGGAGAGATTTGAAGCCAGATTGGAATAACTCTAGGATAGCGTGATCCCCCAAAAACTGTTTCAACTGAGACTCCACAATTTTTTCTAGTAGCTTAGAGGTGAATGGGAGTCTGGAGACAGGCCGGAAGTTGGACATGACTGAGGGGTCAAGGTTAGGTTTTTTCAGGAGGGGCTGGACAGCAGCATGTTTAATAGTTTTTGGCACCACACCTGAGGATAAACTGCTATTCAAAATAGCGAGAATAAAAGGACCCAGGGTAGGAAAAACTTCATTTAGTAGTCGAGGGGGGACCACATCAAAGGGGGAACCAGATGGCTTCATGCTGCACATTACCTGCTCCAGAGAAGACAGAGAGATGGGCTCAAAGTGGTCAAACACAGCCACACACTGAGATGGGATGGACAGATCATGAGCTGGTGGAGAAATGAGTGCCCGGGTGTTTGCCACTTTTTCTAAAAAGAAATGGAGGAAGTTCTCACACAGCTCAGTTGAGGCTTCCAGAGGTGAAGGCTCACTGAGGTGTAGAACTGAGTTCAGGGTGG